TAATAATGCTTTTGACTGAACTGGATGAATTAATGGAAAATATATTCTTGACATTTCAAAAGGTGATGAAAGAAGTAGTCAGATTGATTTTTATGATGGTTTTGGATTTGGGTTTTGTAGTTTATGTGGAATTAGTTGAGTTTATAATATTCATACATTCAGATCATTACCTCTTGACAAAATAAAGAGGTCCCATCTCAATCAATCAAAAGCTTTCAGTAACTCAATCAATCAAAAGCTTTGAAATAAAAGCTTGAAATAAACTGATGTGAGTTGAAATATTGGTCAAAAGAGGACAATTTTGCAATAGCAGCTAGATATTTATGATGGATAGTCGGTGAACTATTTGTTTTTTTGACGAGGGTGTTCCTTTTTGAAGGGAAGTTGTTCCTTTTCGAATATTGCGCCCTGCATCCACTGAGAGGGGTGGGAATGTATATCATGTTTCTTTTCTATTTGGCCCACGTAAAGCCTGAAATTCGTTCATGGATATATTGTTCGTATACCAAAGAGGTTGGAAGGTTGAGCGGTGGAATTGCAAATGAGGTAGGAAGGTTGAGTGGTGTAAGACTCGTTGGTGCAGGTTTCAAATTGATGTACCAAAGTGGTAATATTGCACTGAGGGACATCACACCAAATGTCCCTCGGTGTGACAGATCCGGCGTAAAAGTCACGTGTTTGGTGTAATGCTCATGTGTAAAATTGTAATATTACAAGGGTCACACAATTTTGCACCGGATTTCCTTGCACCCAATAATTTGGTGTTTTTTTCCCGTGCAAAATTAGAATTCCCGACCGGCCTCCTTATTTTTCCACCGGATATGTCACACAGGAATTTTTTACACATCAAAAAAAAAATGAACCATGTGTAAAATTAAATGTTAGGGGGGGTGACATGAGTTTTACACGGAATGTTTTTTACACAGAAACATTTGGTGTAAAACTCATGTCTGTGTAAAATTCCCCCTTCCCATTGTTTATGGCTTTCAATTAAACTAGGGTAGAAGAAAGTAGTAAGCTTAGGGCCCGTTCGGCTGGGTTCCAAATATTGTATTTGGCCAAATACCCCACCAAAGCCAAATACAATATTTGGGTCAAAAACATGTTTGGCTTTTGCCAAAAACACCGGCGTTCGGAAACTGTATTTGATCCATACCCAAATATGGTATTTGATCAAAAAATCTTCACTTTTGAAAAACAGCCTCAGGGCTGTTTTTGAGACCAAAAACAGTTTTTGGGCTCATTTGCCCCTCCATTTCGATTTTTCGTTGACCAATTTGGTTGACTGTTTGGTAAACAAAAAAGCCAGATTTTGAGTTTTTCAATCTGCCCCTTTTTCAAGGGGCAGATCGAAAAATCTTTTTTGTGTAACTATTTTTTCGAAATCCAGCCGAACGGGCCCTTAGATTAGGAAAAACAAACTCACTCCCTTTCATGAGATGGTTGATTTGTGTAATACAGTCAATTAAAGCATCATGGTGATCACAATCAATATGTTGCACACAACCTCGTAAAACGAGAGATGTGAAAGATACTGGTGAAATACCTTGAAATGAACTTGAGAATAAGAATTTTCTTTGCATCCATCCATACAATCGATGGCTTAAACCAGCCTTCCCTATTACGTATCCCAATGGCAATGCCACTGAACTCATCATTTCTCTTACAATTCTCTCAAACTAGTTTGTAGACCTGAAGTGGTTTACATAATATTTGAATCTCCGCAAGATACATTTCAAATGGTTCAAATTTGCCTTGCAGACAATTTCCTCCATTGACTGATACTCAAGCCATATACATATGCTTCAAATTCAGTTCAAGTCTGTTCAATTTCAACCAAGATTCAATTTCTACTGAGACAAGATAAACATCTAATTACTGGAACATGCTCCACTCAAATTGATATTCCTCACCTTGTCATTCACAGAAAATTTTCTAGGAAGCATATACAACACATCTCAAAGGAATGTGACTAACCTGAGCTAAAAGATCCCAAATCAAAACAAGTGAAAAAGATGAATGAGATATTCGAAATGATTGTATTACTATCACTTATCTATATTTTTGAACAAAAAAAACTTTTGATATACTGAGCAATTTATTAAAAGATTAAGATATGTAAATGAAGGAAAGTCAAGAAAGATTAAAAGGTTTATTGTAAAATTATTAAAGTTTGAATAAAATAAGGATGATTAAATTATTTTTGAAGAAAGGAAGTAAATCAAGGTTTCTGGGTAAAGGAAGGGGAGATGATTAAGTAATAGTTATGTAAGAATGAAATAGTGAAGGACAATTGTCCTACACATTTTTTTAAAAATTCAATCAGATCAAAAACACAAGATTTTCACCCAGAAAGAGATAAGTTTTGTTTTGGAATGATTTGGAAACCTTTTTCAAAAAAAATATGATGATGAAATGAATAAAAGGTCAAGTTGATGAAAAAGAATTTAACAATTCACTACTGAACCAGATGGACGACCAGGAACAGGAGAAAGACTTAGTCTTGAAGGAGGATGAAAGATAGATTCAAGACTAGGAGAATAAAATCGATCAGGATTAGCAACCTAAACAAACCCCAAAACAAAAAAACACCCAACAAAAATCAGCATACAGCAAAAAAAGTGAATGTAATTAGAAATATTAGAATTTTGGTTTATGTATGACGAACCCAAAGGTTTTGTTGTTCTTCAAAAGATTGATTTGTAGCAAACAATCCAACTGAATTCAATCTAGATTTCCATTGTGGTTCTGAATTCAAAGAAGCAGCACCAGTACAAAAACTAGATAAATCTTCCGAAGAATGACTCGAAATCCCACCTAAACTTAAATGTTGATCTGTCAATTTCAAGAAAGAGGTATTGGATCTTGGTCTAGAAAAAAATGGAATCGATTCATCTTCTTCTTGTTGATAATTTGATTTGTGAGTTGGTTTGTTTGATGTGATTGGTGTACTAGGGTTTGTTGTATGGATTGGGGAGATGGATGTTGTTGTGCCTGGATGGGCTGAACTATAGCTTTCTTGGGATGAGGTTTGATTAGAAACAATTGGACTTTTAGTTTGGTTATTCGAATCTATTGGGGTTTCACGTTTATCAATTGATTTAGAATGATCAGGTCAAGATGACATTGGAAGTTTATAAATTGGATGTAAAAATGGTTGATTTTTTGATGGACTACCTTGATATTCACTACAATTTAAAGTCTCATTTCTAAGAAATTTAGTTTGAATTTCTAATGTTGGTTTTTTGACTTTCAAATCGACTTTTTTCTCTGAAATTTGGAATAAAGATTTCGATAATAAATTTCCACATGATTTTGAACTAATTGAATGTTTTTGATGATAAAGTTCAATAGCTTCTGACCATTTACCATAAATAATCGGATCGGTTACTTCTTGTACGATGACTAGTTACTGTTGGTGATTCGAGTGTTGCAATGATATCAGGTGTAGAGACACAAGATTTATTTTGATAAAGACTAAATCCAAGATTAAAAGAATCGGTGATTTGATGAGATTTTTCAACTTCATCTGGAACTTCAGGTGTCACATCAAGTCAATCAGTTTCTAAACCCACACCAAAGGATGACTTTAAATTTCAACAGGTTGAGGTTCACTTGATGAGTTTGATGAACAGTTGTTTATAGATTCTTTCAATTTCAAAGATTGAGGATGTTTCATCATCCATGAGTTTCTCGTGATTGGAGTAATTGATGATTCCTTTGTACCTACCAGAAGGTACAATGTTCAGGTGAGGATAAGATTCATGTGCCAATTTCTCTGGACTAACAACCGAACCAGTACCACATACGTTTCTACCATTCATGAACTCGGAGGATTTAGGAGCCAAGTTGTGATTGGTTGGTGATGATTGTAAGTCAACCTTTGGAGCGTAATTCCGTTCTTGATTCACATTTGATCCCAGATAGTCGTAGGTTCCAGTTTGATGATGATAGACATGAGATTGGTAAGAGTGATGACTGAAAAACATACCTCTTGTGTAAATCTCTTTGACTGTTTTGGAGACCAAGATAGGAAGTCTATGCTTTTGACCACCAATGATAGTAACACAACTAGCACACGCCGTTTCACAAACAAACAAAACGGTTTGATAGAATCATGTTGATTTGATATTGTATCTTCAGTTGAATTTCAAGTAGTAGCAGTAGAAGGACGAATGGAAGCAAGAGCAATTGCCCTTGTCCGCCAACCAAGTTGTTTCAATAAACCTTTTGATTGACTTGAATCCAATGTAGAAGAAGGTTTTGAACTTTGATCTGATAATTGAGGTGAATTTTTTGTGATTGTTGGAGGATCATTGGGTTCATTTTGTAATTGACCAAGATTGACTAGAGTAGAAAGTCAATGAGATCCGAGTATAGGATCAAGTATAGATCGAATTGAGTATCCAAACGAATTGGGAATTCTATGGGTAGATTATTATAAGAAGTTGTTATTGAAGAAGGAGGTGAAGAAATTTGTTGATTGAAGATCGGATCTAGTTGTGTAGGTTTATATTTATATTTAGATTGAGAATGAGATGGATGAAGCGACATTGAATGATTAGATGATCGGAATTTAGAATGAGTTGATGAGATTGGACTGATCAGGTTCAGATTAGAGTTGATTTAAGTTGAGCGCCAGGTTGATTGTAGCAGCTGATTTAGTTTGAGGACAAAGTGAAGAGGTCAGAGTTAAGAACTAGCGGGTTGCTTGATGTAATATTAAGGGATGAAGTAGGTTGTTGATGCGCAGAAATGGTAAATTTCAAGAAGGGTGACACTTCACCCTTCTCTTCACGCCAGCACCGTCTCAGTTCACACAATAATTGAAGAAACACAAAACAAATGGATTGCATATCAATGTGCTTTACTCAATTTATTGGTGACTTCCTGACTGTAATCTTTCACAACCCTCTCAACAAACGCTTCATAGTCTGATTGAGTCTTTCCCGCTCTTTCTTTTATAACATTTCGATGCGTTGGGTCAATGCTATGCTTATTTGGCATGAAGATCCAAATCAGGTGATGGCTGATTGACGTGGTTGGATCGGTCTTCCAAATTTATTTGTGGTGACAGAAGGTGTAGTGTAATGTAATTTGTCTGAAGCCCATAAGATGAGTATATTTCCTTCACATGAACATAAATCAATCGATATCCCATATTTATGGCGTTCTACGGAATGCGAGGTGTGCCAAAGTGCCAATTCGAATTTCAAAAAAACAAATTTCAGAATCCCCGGGTCAGAAATTGACAAAACTGGATTAAACTTTAAAATTAACTCAAATACTGGTCTGAAAACCCCTGTATTGGGGATAAAACCACACTTTCTGCCAGTTCTCACGGTTTACTAACCACGACTCTGATTTTGACCGCTGAGTTGGCACTTTGGCACAAAATATACGTGGAAATTTCAAGGAATCAAATGTTCAACATGTCAAAATTCACCAACTTAAAAAAGCACAGAAGACAAAACATAACACCTACCACACAACAACGATACTAGCCAAAACCTACTTCTTCCACAATCATGATTGACCTAGTCTTAGGTTGCCCACAGCTTCAGTCAATCAACTGAAGAAAACTGGTATGGGTGTACCGCCGGTCCCCAGGTAGCTGCTTCAGACAGGCTACGTAATCCTGGTTTTAGGGTTGGACCACCCAGTGTTAGGTGGTCTACAGCTTTAGTCAAGTATACATACAAGTCCCCAGGTACTCTCTCCAGTCACAAACCACCAAATCCCCTTTATTTATGGTTTGATCACCTTTGGTAAGGTAGAATAGACCACAGCCTAAACCACCTAAGCCTAGGTGGTCAAACTTTAATAGATAGACCACCTAGGCTTAGGTGGCTCTCTTCTCCAGTCAATCAACTGGAGAACGGGCCTAGGTGGTCCAAGTTCAATAGGAGGACCACCTAGGCTTATGTAGTTGTCTTCTCCAGTCGATCGACTGGAGACCAGGCCTAGGTGGTCCCAGTTTACTAGGAGGACCACCTAGGCTTATGTGGTCTTCTTCTCCAGTCGATCGACTGGAGAACAGGCCTAGGTGGTACCAGTTTACTAGGAGGACCACCTAGGCTTATGTGGTCTTCTTCTCCAGTCGATCGACTGGAGAACAGGCCTAGGTGGTCCAAGTTCAATAGGAGGACCACCTTGGCTTATGTGGTCCTCTTCTCCAGTCGATCGACTGGAGAACAGGCCTAGGTGGTCCAAGTTCAATAGGAGGACTACCTAGGCTTATTTAGTCCTCTTCTTCAGTCAATAAACTGGATAGAGTACCATGGGACCAGTTCCAGGGCTTTTTCTCCAGTTTCTTGACTGGAGAAAAAGACCACCTAAGCCTAGGTGGTCTATCTAATAAAGTTTGACCACCTAGTCTTAGGCCTTCAAGGCTGTTGTCTATATACCACCTAAGCCTGGGTGGTCAAATTTGATTACATGGACCACCCCGGCTTAGGTGGTCCTCTAGTGATCATGTTTGTCATTGTGTCCTTTGATTGTGTCGCCTTTAATGAATTTTGTAATGGCAATATCAGTCATTGATATTGACTATGGGTACCATTGAGCCAAATCCCAGTCCACAACCGGTCACATGACCTTTTGTGTTTTGTTGTTTTTTAAGTTTGTGACTTTTGACATGTTGAAAATTTGATTTCTTGAAATTTTCGTGTATTATTTGTGCCAAAGTGCCAAGTTAATGGTTGTAATTTGAGTTGCGGTTTGCAAACAGGGGAAACTGGCAGAAAGTTTGGTTTTATCCCCAATACAGGGGGTTTCAGACCAGTATTTGAGTTAAATCTGATGTTTAATCCAGTTTTGTCAATTTCTGACCCGGGGATTCTGAAATTTCCAATTTTGAAATTCTATTTGTCACTTTGACACACCTCGCATTCCGTAGCGTTCAAACATGCGCGAGAAATTTGCAAGTTGCGAGAAAGTTCTGTGCAAGTTCTTTTAAACATCTTGCATAGAACTTCCACAAAACTTGCAGACTTAAGAAAGTTATGTGTGAACCTAGGCTTCCCCGCTTCGAGGACTCAGTTTGCCCTTGATGAGATACATACAGCAGGGGGTTGTGAAAAAATTAATTAAGCAGGATCCGTGCAAGATTTCTTGCACGGATCTTGCACGGATCTTGCACGGATCTTGCACATCGGTTTTGCAAATTTCTTGCACATGTTTGAACGCCATAATTGTTTTAAAATAAAAAAAGCACCCTTGATGTATCCATGTCGACCATTGTTTTCATGAGGAGGATCTCCAGTAGCACGTAAGATTTGACTAAACAAGCCAACTGCGTATGGGCTTCTGTACTTATCCCGATGTGGTCTATTATTAAAACCGTCAAAGGTGACCGAGATAGAAGAAAAGAGAGCATTGAGATTACCATTCATATTCCACTTTTTATCACTAAATGAAGGTATCTTTGATTTGATTGCTACCTGTTTGCATTGCTTGAAAGCCCCCATGCAAAGTTCACCCATCCATTGAGCATAATTATCATGACATATATCCATAAGTTCCATTTCATTCATATCATCCTTAATTGAGTCTATTTTACCTCCAGCTTGTTGATTGAATGCATAGACACCTAAGCTCAAAAGGAATATGAAAAGATTTCAGCATCAATCACCCAATTTAAGCCTGATTGAACACTCACCCAAGCTTTTACCCCGATCAGATACTGGCCTAAACCCTCCTAATTTCATTGTGCCACCTACGCACTCTTTTGTTGCCCAATTTGTCTTACAAGTTCCACGTCGAGAGGCATGTCGATAAACTGTTTTGGTGGTGAACTCAAATTGGTCTTTCTGAGCTTGAGGGGTGCTTTCATCAGGTAAATAACGGATGACTGCAATGACTTTCAATGACTCCCAATCAATAATGGCTGTAGTACCGTGTGAAATTTCTATATTGCATTTAAATTCATCCTCCTCCCCAACCTCATTCATCTTCTTCACAAAATAAAGGTAAGTCGAGTCAGGTAATCCCAAGTCTCTAATGAGATCTTGTCAAAACTGGTTGAAGGCATTGTTAGAATTTGCATGAGGTGGTTGACCTGGGTTCCGTCGGTATTGAGGACAAGAGCTCATTGAGGAGTTGAGTGTAGTGGATTGGATGGATTGGATGAAATCAAATCACAAGTGGGGGGAACTCGAGCAAAACTCTTGAGCAAAATCATTTGTTTTTCATTTTGAACAAAAGACATCTTGATGTTGAGAATTTCTCACACATCATTCCATTAAACTATTTACATTCTATAATTCACTCAGATTCAGTTCTCACCTGCAATTTGAAATCCCTTGGTGATTTCTTGCATATTTAATAAAATAAAATGTGGAACCCCCTTCTCAACCTGCACATATGCACCTCAGATGAGCTGAGGTGCACACATACAAATGAGAGAGCGGCTACACTCCCAATGTACCTCAAATTCAAGTCCACTGCAGTCGTTGACCACAGAAGTACTCGCGAGGTACATCAAATCCACATTCCATGTTGACCATTTTGACTGCACTGCGAACTGGCAAATTAATGAGCGGTATTTATAGTTTTCCATTCCTCTGTATGATAAGCACACCGAAAAACACCTCCACTTCGGGATATGTCAGTTGGACTCCATAAGCACTTCATTGACTTTTCAAATTCGACATGCATACCAAGGTGATTCATTGGCTGCATGAGCATCGTTTGTATAACATCAACTTTTAATTGTACTCAAATGCATACACATTCCACTCCTCTGCGGGCAATATGGTCATTGTCTCCTTGCAATGTTTTTAAAAGCATTATGCATCACCCATGGGCCTGTTCATTGTTCTCAACTTCAGTTTGTCTTGCCTCAGCCCTGCATTAGCTCTCCGTACTGTATGCTGTACTCAAATGATCCATCTTATTTTCTTGCCATCCACAATCAACCTGCTCATGTTTTGACACCCCATACTCCGCATTAGGAAATATGCTATGTATGTACTCCACTATGTACACGGACTTCAAATCGTTCAATACACTGCCAACTTCTACTTCTTTCAATCTCGGTCTCCTTCTCTCTTCAATCCATTTTCTGGTAAGCTTTCCATTCTACTTTTATGATTCCTCTCATTGTCTATCTCATACTAATCTTATTCCTTCTATCTATTCGATTATTGTCTTTTTGATTCTTCTTAAAATCAATCATCATCTTTACCTCGTTCAATTTGATCCTTCTCTTTAGTAAGTCATCCATTTCTTCTTCAGCTAAACCATCTTATGATTAACTTGTATTACTATTTGTTTTAAATTGATTTTTTAGATGTTTTGCTTTGATCGATTCCATTCCATTCCAACCTTCACACAACCACTCTTCACTCCTTTTGACTTAGATCGTTAAATCACTCGATCCGATAACTTCATACTCTATTCCATTGTCACTCCATCCTATTAGTAAGTTTCTCATCTGACTCATCCTTTCTTCATCTTCTTACTAATTTTCTCTTTTCATTTCCTACTTGTCAT